CCTAAGATTGACGACCAACAACCTCTTTTTTCATGTGTGTGTGTGTGTGTGTGTGTGTGTGTGTGTGTGTGTGTGTGTGTGTGTGTGTGTGTGTTACTCTTTCGAGTCTGTGTGGAGTACCGTTGAGTACACATGGTATGACCCACCCCGCACGGTGCCACCGACTCCTCATGGTACCACCCACTCCACATGGCATCAGCCTGCCCACATGGCATCACCCAGCTCACATAGTACCACCTGGTGATGTCGAGAGCAGAGTTGTCCGAAACCTTGGCCGTGTGCGTTCCTGTTTTAGGGAGGGACCTCGTGTATGTGCTGTGTTTTTGTGGCTGTGTGTGTTTCGGTACCATAAAGTCCACGTAGCATAGCCCACCGCAATGGTACCACACAGTCGACATGGGACCAGCCCACCCCCGTGGTATCACTCATCCCACACAATACTGTCCTGCCCGCATAGTACCGCCTAGCTGTGCATAGCCTTGAGTTTGTACTGAATGTCAGCCGTGTGTCTTTTTCTTTTCGTGGCGGTGCGTGTGTACATAGCATCGAGTCCACATAATATGATCCGCCCCACGTTGTACCATAAGGTCCGCGTGGTGCCATCCAACCCACATAGTATCACGGAGCCACATAATACCGCCCAGCCTGCATAAGACTGCTTAGCCAAGCCAAGCGCAGAGTTGTGCATAATGTTGGCTGCATTTTTTCTTTTTATTATTAACCGTGTGTATGCATTTCTTTCTTTTGTAGCCATATGTGTGTTGCTTCCATTCGGTCCACATAGTATGATCCACCCTGCATGGGACCAAAAGTCCACATGGTACCACCCAGCCCACATAGCATCAGCCCAACCACATGACCCCACGTAGTATCACCAAGCGGCGCCAACAGCCGAGATTTGCCTGATGTAGACAGTTTGTTTTTTTGTTTTTCTTTGTAGCAAGTGTTTTGTTTCCCACCCCGTTTGTGTTCGCGTGTGTGTTAGTACTTTCCAGTCCACACAGTATTACCCAAACGACATGGTGCCGCCCAGTGCATGGTATTGCACTCCTACGTGCCCTTCACGCCTAGTCATTCCGAATAACACTTTCCCCCCCCGTCTTACCGCCGCTGCTGGCACGAAGTTAGCCGGGGCTTCTTCTTTGTTTTTTGTCATAATCTCACTACCGATGAAAGAGCTTTACAAGATAAATCCCCTTCTTCACTCACGCGATATTGCTGGATCAGGCTTTCGCCAATTGTCCAAGATTCCCCACTGCTGCCTCCCGTAGGAGTCTGGGCCGTGTCTCAGTACCAGTGTGGCTGATCATCCGAAAAGACCAGCTAAGCATCATCGGCTTGGTCAGCCTTTACGTAACCAACTACCTAATACTACGCGGGCTCATCAAACAGCGCTAAAAGCTTTGACTATCTAGTCCACATAGCATCACTCACCTATCCCACATTTCTACTGCCCAGGCTACATAGCATTAACCGCTCCACGTAGTATGACCGACTGCTGTCGCTCATTGGATGGATCAGCAAGAGTGGAACTCCGCTTCCCCTTATGCCTCTTCTCTCCTCTCCTCTGTGCTGCAAGCGAAGCTGCGGCAAGCAACTGCGTGTAAGGAATAAAACAGATGGACCATCTGTCCTGTTTGCCAGGAAACCCAATAATACAAAGCTTGGCCAACTGGCATGTGCAAAAGGACAAATTTAGCAACTAAACAGAGATTTAGGACCTCGTTGCACCACTCACCAAATTCATGTTTTGGTGAGCTCTTTGTCTCTGCACCATCGTAACTCTTTTCTTGTGTCAGAAAATTCAACTGAAGATGTCGAAACAGGCAGCGTCGAGGAATCACCGAAACCTCCCCGACCCCACTTGTCAGCGGTGGAAGTTCGTGATTCCTCTCAGTGTGCCTCTAAACTCTGAGTGGGAGAGGGGTCCAGACCAATTTGTTGTTTTGTGTTTACTCACCTCGAAGCTGACCACATCTGGACGAGTATCTTTGCATGGGTGGACACACCGAAAGTACAGGAACGTGAACACGTTGAGTTTTCTCACCAAACCAGGCAGACAGACTACACTCAATCGAACGTGGACCGGTCTGTATGTGGATTTGGTGAGGCGATTCTATTGGTGAATGGTGCAGCGAGGCCTGGTTTGATGAGCTTTCCAGACATTTGTCTGGTGGTGGGAAGTCACCATCGTATTCTGGTTTTCAGCTAGGACCTTAAAAAACGATACAAAAAAGGTTTTTCTAGAAATCGCTTGGACTGTGTCTACGACTACGCCCAAATTAGGTCATGTCTGTGTGTCAGGGGATGCTAGGGAACAGAAAAATACAAACCTTGCCCAACTGGCACATGCAGAAGGACAATATAGACCAGCTCGACGGAGATACAGAAAACAGAAGGAGCGTCTCCCTAGAAATCACAAAGGTCGCAATTGGGCTGTATGTCTACAAGTAAGCGCAAACTAGACCCTGTCTACGTCTCAGAGAAAATGCGAAGGAGCCATTGCTCTTCTAGATGAAGTCGTAGGCATACTATGAAAGTCGTAGACATAATCAGTCCTCCCAGTCCTGGTCGAGTGAGGCCCCGCTGTCAGCAAACAGTTTGTGTAAACATTTTTTTATTCCAGACTGTTGGAAGGTACAATTTTCTGAAAGAACTAACTTATATGTGGATGCCTGTCAGGAGTTCCTGCACACACAATGGGAGGAAGTGTCTGAGGGCATACTCACACGGGTACCCAAAGTCACAAATATCTGGGGCGTTTGGTACCGTGTATTTGTGCCTTTGGGTGCCCGTGCGGTCACAGACGAGTTCTGTGTCCACAAAGGACCGAGTAGCGGCCCTGACATTCGCGCCTCACAGAACTGCACCTAGTCACACTGGTTACACCCAAAAGTATATAGAGTTTTGAATGCTGAACTAACACGCACGGGTGTTTTGCTCACGAAGAAAGGAAAAGTGGAAAAGGGAATTTGAGACCACCTCTGGAGGTGGTCTCAGAAATGGTCCTCCCGCGGCCTCGCAGGCTGCTTACAAAAGGGTCACCGAAAAGTACACTTGGGTAGCGGGCCTCTTCAGTGTGACCTGAAAACTGCCTCAAATTTTGGGATTTAAGGTCATCAGGTCCCTCTGTAAGTATGCCCTGAGTGTGTTGTTTGTGACTCGCGGGTAGGATAGGAACATCATTGACGCTCTGCATAGATGAGCCACTGTCCCGGATTGTACGAAAAGTTGAAACACCTAGGAGGCTTCTGACGTCTGACCGGGCTGGCTAGGACGCCTGGGCAGGTCTCGTGCCCGGGTCACCCGTGCGTGAAAAAAAATGTTGCCCCCCCCGCCATCCACCCCACACTCCTGTAAGCTCTGGTCTTTTGCGCTTTAAGGTTTTGGGGGGGAAGGGGGGGGGGGGGCAAGATGGAGGAAGGAGGGAGGCAATGGTGGTACGATGAAGGCAATGGAGCAAGAGGGAGCTGATGGAAAGCCAATGGATGGGGGAGGAAGGCAATGGAGGAAGGAGGGAGGTGATGTGGGAGGTGGTCAGCGATGGAGGGAGGAGGAGAGGCGACGGAGGGAGTGGAGAGCCGATGGATGGGGGAGGGACGCGATGGATAAAGGAGGGAGGCAATGCGGAAGGTGGCAGGCAATGTGGGAGGTGGTGAATGAAGAGGAGGGAGGGGGAGAAAGGGAAGAAGAGGAAACGAAGAAGGAGAAGAGGAGGAGGACGAGGACAAGAAGAAGAAGAAGAGTGGAGGAGGGAAGAAGAGGAAATGAAGAAGAAGGTGAGTGTCATGGGACGGCGGGCTGGGGGCAGGGGATCTGTGGGAGGACGGCCTTGAGCAACCCCACGATTTCACGTTGCATTCAAAATCGAATGCCCATGCAAAATCACACGGGCACTTCCTGGGAACAAGAGCAACTTTGGGCTGTCGATCGAGACGATCGACTGCCTGAAATTGCCACTCATCTTCTTGAAGCGCAGGGCCGGTAGAGGCCTCACACTTTTTTTTTCAGCGCATGGTGGCTCTGTGGAGCTCCAGGTGGCCACCAGCGCTGAAAAGGGCCGAAGGTTTTCTTTTCCTTCTGGCACTGTGAGCGCCCAGGAGCCCGGCCGACGGTCGTGCGTGGCAGCCCGGGTGTCTCTCTGAGCAGGAGATTGCAGCTCGGGCGCCAGGGTTTTTAACCTATATAAGAAGAGAATGAAGGGTGAAAGAAAATGTTCTAAACATATTGTTGTGGCCGCACTCTGGAGCAGTATGCTGAATTCTGGTATTGGGAAATGGGGCTGTGCTTTTAACTTGTTTGGGGTCTTAGTACCGTCTTACTACTTGTTGGGTGAGCACACCACTTGTGCCGCTCCAGTGCTGTGCACGTGGTGTGTGCCAGAATGGAACTGTGCAAAGTTGTGAAGTGCTTAATCCAGATGGACCTGCAGGTGTCTCGTGTCCAGAGATCATTTGGGTGTGCACCTCTGGTTTCTTCCAGGTGAGGGCATAGTGGACACGAGATCATTTAGGTGTGCACCTCTGGCTTCTTCCAGGTTAGGGTATACTCACACTGGGATTTAATTGGACGTTTCCAATTGGAACTGTGGCCAAAATTTATCGGAGAAACAGAGTGCGTGCGAGTATGCCCTGAGGTGAGTCTGGAGTAGAGTGCACCGAATGAAAGAACGGATTGAGAAAGAATGTAATCACGGGTGAGAAGAGAGCAATCTAATGAACAAATTTGCGAGAGTGGAACTATCTACCTCATTGGAACAAAGAAATTCAAATTATTACACCAGATTACAAGTGGATGAAATTGGTCGAGTGGTTTCCGTAGGAGATGGAATTGCACCTGTTTATGGATTGAACAAGATTCGAAATGAAGAAATAGTCATCGTATGGATTGGGCCGGTGTGGGGTATCGCCTCAGCACATGCAAAAATTGTTCTCATTGCGTAATCTTTGCCACCGTGGTTGGCATTTGGTTTTGTTATGTTCTAAACACCTTGTGTGCAGATAGATGAGGAGATCATAGAAAAAGTTGTCAGGATGGGCTTTGACCGGCAACAGATCATCAACTCGCTGAAGAGCAGAGACCATAACAAGGTGTGGCAAGTCATCTGGGACATGCCTAACTTCCTTACCATCCTCTCACCTCACCTCACCTCACATCACATCACCTCACCTCTCAAGGCATAAAGCACATCATCTGTGCTGCTTTTGTGTCCGCTTGTATGTGCACTGCATATGCATTCATTCCTCCCATGCTGTGTAAACTTTTGTGTGCCCTCACCTGTAAGGCATGAACCAGATACCCCATGCTGCTTTTAAGTCCACTTGTATGTGTACTGCAGATGGTTTCACTTCTCCCATGTTGTGTAACGCTTTGTGTGCTGCTGCAGATGGGTACACTCCCTGCACAAAAGTATGTTGGACAGGGGTGGATGCTTGGCCATCGGCCCTCCGATTCTTGAGTAGGCAAGCGGCGCATGTGACCTGGATGTTACAGGGTCATTCTTGAGTGGCCCGGACTCATGTTGCTGAAAATGATCTCTCTGTGGATGGAAGTTTTGAATGGCTTCAGCAACAGGCGAAGCCTGTCGTAGTGGTATGTCTGCATCCCATATCCATGAGGAGGACTTCTCTAGTGCACCCTTTCCAGCACAGCCCTGCATCAATATCCTCCTCGTAGTTTGTACACAACAGCTTGAAGGATCTAACTCAGCAATGCTGCATAGCAGAGGTGTACACAGCTTGGACAACAAACATAACATGATCTCTGCTAGTGTTTTCGCTGTTTGAACTCTGAAACATTTTAGAATGTTGGGTCTAGCTCGTGTCTTGACGGCTTCAGTTTCTGCTCTCTTTTCTGCCGGTGCTGCATAGGAGAGGTGTACACCTTTCTGAGCCTGCCGGGCCCTTTGGCAGTCTGGCTCAGCAGCTTGGAGGGGGCTCACCACCCACCTGCATGTGGTTCGCATTGCTCTCTATATGAGGAGGATAGGAGTGGAGGTATTTTATCTGTGTGTTTGCAGGTGCTGCTCTCACATGGCAGGTTGTTACGATTAGATAATTTAATTTGTGAGTTTGTTAAACAACTTAAACTCTGTTTCCCCCCCTGAACGATTTTGAGTGTTGCTTAATTCTGACCATTCTCGTCTGATCTAATTCATTGTGCGTAAAGTAAAGTGGCAGTTGAAGTCGCTGTTCCGTGTTTGATGGTGGCCATCGTTCTGCGAGGAAAGTGTAAGTCCGTTTTGTGTTGTCTCAAAATGACGTTTCCAAGGACTATCAACGAGCTCCCTTCCTGCGCTGACGTTTTGAAGATGTGTTTGAAGAATTCCCTGGTTCTAAATTTCATGTGTTTCGGTACTATTTCCTGGTGCAGGCAACAGTAGCTTACTATCTGATGTTTGACAACAAGCGACGCGATTGCAGTGGTTACCTTGCAGCAGAGTTCACAGAATCCAGAGTGAGTATCTCATGAAACAAGGGAGGATATGTGTTACGGACTCAGCCAGGGCTCGATCCCTGGTCCGCGGGTTACCACCCACCAGACTGCTATTCTTTTTTTTTTGAGTCTCTGATCTCCGGTTCCTGACTGTTGGTGTCCTCCGCAGTTGCCGCCCGTTCTCAAATTCCGCCTTTGGCACTTTCAGATTTCGATACTTGGCGCCATCCGGCATTCTGGCGCCCAGGCTCAGACCTTCGATTTTCAGTTCAGCCCCGAGGCAAATTGCACTTCTGGCCTCGGACTCAACTTGAGTCCGGTACTTAAGACCGGACTCGAGCTGAGTTCAGGCTTTCAGTTTTCGGCCTCAAAGCTTGTGCTTCGGTGTGACTTGCTGCGACATTGTGTTCGGAACCAAGATTGTGACTTTGCGACTTTGCCACTTTGCCACTTTGCCACTTTGTGTCTGCGTCCGTCGAGTCGTGTCGAGTCTGTGTCGAGTCGAGTGAGTGTGTGTGTGTGTGTGCTCTCACTCCCTCCCTCTCTCTTCCCCGGCCTCGCTGCTCTGCCTCAGCCCCGTCACACTGGTATCGGAGCTGCAAACGGCCCTCCCTCCCTCCCTGTTCCGGCATCGCCATCGTCATCATCTTCGTCGTCGTCATCGCAATCGTCGTCATCCTCGTCGTCGTCGTCGCTGCCACGCCAGGGCCTCGTACCTGCCGTCGCCGCTATCGCCAGATTCGCCATGACAGCACCTCACTGCCTTCGTCATCGTCCCTGCTCCGTCACCGATCCCGAAGCTGACGCGCAGGTAAGTGACCAATAATTTTTTTTTTTTTCTTCATTCCTTTTTTCCCCTCTTCTTCTTCCTCGTTTCTTCTCCCTCTCCTCCTTCACCATCATTGTCCCCATTTCCTCTTCCCCCCCTCCTTGTCGTCATCATCTCCCCCTCCTTCCTCTTCTTCTTCTTCGTCACCCTCTCTCCCGATCTCGACCCGTTTTCCCTCGTGCCGCTGACCGTTCCACCGCACGACTTCCCGTGCGCCCTTTCCTCCCCCACTTTCCCCCC